CCCCCCCTGCCCCGTCGGGATTGCTGGGGGCCCTCCTGCTTTACCCTCGGCCGTTGTCCAGGTGAAGCAGGAAAGTGTCGTTCCCAAATTTCTCAAAGGTCTCGTAGTGGTGCCGGTCCATGTTGCCTGCAGCGGGGAGAGGAGGTGGGGATGAGGGGAGGGCAAAGGCAGAGGGGACGGATGCACGGGGGAAGGCGGACGACGGGACAGCCACCCCGAGCTCCAGGAACGGGGACAGGCACCGAGAGCACCCTGGGGCTCCCCGCTGGGAACGGCCCGCTCGGCGCCACACGCTCACCCTCCCCTGCAGAGCGCCTCCGAATTTGTCTGAGCTCCCACATGAAATGGGCTGGGGGTCTCAGGGCGGCTGCTCTGGCTGAGCCTGACCAAGGTAGCAGCAGGGAATGCTACAGATCAGCCCGGGGGTGTTTTTCAAAACAGCTACTCGCCAGGATCAAAGAGCAAAAGACAGGGCAGTTGCATCTTTTTTCCCCAGCTACGCCGGCAAGAGCGCAGCCACGTCCCCGTGCAATATCTAAACTACAATATGGTGCAGAGAGCAGTCTGCTGGCTCAGCCTGACCCTGGCAGGTCTCCTTCCTTTGCCAAAGCTCAGCACAGGAAGATACGGTTTCTCGCATCTCTCAGGATTGTCCCTTGTTCAGAGCTGACCTCATGCTCCCTCCCTCCAGGCTCAGCTCTGCAGCCCTTTTGTAGAGGTGTGTCTCCTCCCATATGCTGAGCGTGGGCTCCTGTCCGTCTCCAGTCATACGAGTCCTCGTCCTGCTGCGAGATCATCCACCTCCTTCCTTGTGGGTGACCCGTTCGTCCTGGCAGACACCGACAACGCCACTTCTTGGGATGCAGAAGGATCGCCCCTTCCTCCTCAGATGCTCTTAGCAGCCACGGTTTTGTGCCATCTAATGGAGTTGTCATCTCTACTGCATCAAACACCCGCAGCTCGGTTTATCACATTGACATCCTGCTGCTCAGCCAGAGGCCTTTGAAACACTAAAATGCTGTTGAAGCAGGACCAATCTGGCTGGGAACATCCTCAGCTCTAAAGCCATCTGCCGACAACCAGCTACCCAGAGCGACAAAACCGTTAACCCGTTCAGCATCAGCGGGTCGTCTATTTTTGTAAGAGGCAGAGAAAACGTTGATCGCTGATCCCCTGCACGTGCTACACTGGTACACAGCTCTTTTCAGCATCATCTATGGGTCACTGGCATATCTGTTAGAGCAGAGCAACGTCACCCACGTGCACAAGAGCCTCTAAAAATGTCTTCGTCTGTCCTCCTCCTGCTCTAGCCCCAAATCTGTTATCGGATGGCCAACCAGGACATGGAAGAAGGGAGGCGAAACACACCCCTGGTGAGAAAACCAGTGGGACCGGCGCCGGGAGGAAGGAGTGGGTCGTGTGTTTTAGCCCCTGGATACATACAGCACTTGTGCCGCGACAGCAGGTGCCAGCCGTGTGCCCCTGCTGCTCCTCAGTGGCACCAAAGTAAGCAGGACTTTTAAAGCAATTTTTTCTCTATGCGAGAAAAACACGTATGTGAGGAGGCTCTGTAACTGAGCCGCATCAGTCAGCGACTGCACCTCTTTACGCGCCTGACGGACCTGATCTACTCCAGCGAATGTCTGCCATATAAACCTGCCCGAAGAGAAGACAATTCAGCTGTCATTAAGGTCCATTTTTCCTGATATAACAATGACCCCCCTAGAGCTTGCACCTGCTCGACAGTTCTGAGTAGGAAATCGCTTTTTGTCTGAATCTGGAAAAGCTGCAGCTTTACCAGTAAATGAGCTGAAGGACCTGGAACTACCCAGTGAATGAGGCCAAAACAAATCCAGCTCTCAGACAGGGGCCAGCCCCGGTGCCCGTCCATGCGTAGAAACGTAACTCAGATCTGGAGACGGCTGACCGCTTTGCCATTTGCTTAGTTGTCTCAAGGGTTATGGCGAAGGCTAGAGAAAGGATGTAATGAGGACTTGGTAAGAGCCTTTGATCCTGAGGCACTTGTAAGAAGTGGCCTCAAGACATTTTCAAATGACAGTCTAATTAAAGCAAATGATGGCATTTAAAAATGTTATTCTGGAGAAAGAATATTTGACAGGATGGCTGCAGCTCCTAAGGGCTCTGTGGGAGAGGATTTGCATACCTGCTAGGAAGGTTTGCCTCCAATTCTGGTGGCCCCTGGAGAACTCAGTGTAGGGAGAAAATACGAAGAGAGTGGTATCTGTTTTCTCGCACCTGGCTGACAGATTTACAGGGTGGCAGCACAAAAATGAACCCTTACCTGAGTGACATCAAGATAAGCAACACCTGATGAACTCTGGTTTGAGGCATGGATTAGAGGCAGCAGAAACTAACTCTGCTCATCTCGGCGACACTAAAATTATCTATCGGGACCCTTTGCAAAGTAGGGCTGAAAACTGCCAGATACTGTCAGCAGTTAAGAAAAAACAGTTCTGCATGGGGGGGGACTGCTAGCCAAGGGGACAGACACAAGAAACCTTGTTGCGGGTACCAAAGCAATGACCAGCCTTGTCGAGGATCCAGTGGCCAGTGCAGTGGCTAAGTGAGGACCATTGACATTGGACACACCAAAGGGTCTCCAAAATCCTTACAGATCTTTAATTGCACAAAGGCCAGACAGGGCATGACCCTCCTGGGCTGCAGAGTGAAGGCCTACAAAAAAACCCTACACCTCTCACCTTGCCCAGCCCTCCAGGCTCTTAGCCACAGGTCTGGCTGTCAGGACCGGCAGCGGCGCAGCTGCCCCCGCTGCACAGGTCAGTGCACGGGCCAACCAAGCCATGAAAAGGGTGCCATCTCCCTTGTTCTGCTGTCCCGTATGAGAATGGGGAAGAGGGTAGATGTGAAAGAAAAGCAGTTGCTGGTGCAGGACACAGGCTGAGAGTTGTAAGTGCCATGGTGGTGGCAAAAATTATGCTTTGGCTCTTCAGGGGACAAGTGCTCGGGTCCCTTTAGGGTGTCTCCAAAGGGGCACGCCGAGCACTGATCTCTTTCAGAAACCTTGCCCCTGTTTTCTGCGTTCTCCTGGAAAAAGCGTGTTAAAGAGACATGCATCATCTGCTGCAAAGCCCTTGTGAGCTGGAGAATCAACACAGCCATCTGCTTCAGGGAACAAACCTCAACTGGAGGATCAAGGAGCTGCACGGGGAAGCAGGGGTAGCTTATAGCGGAGCAGTCAAGGGAGAAAAACATGGGCTGGGGGCTCCCAGGGAGAGTGAGATAGTGCAGTGCCCAGAAAAACACATTTACATGGTGCCGTCTCCTCAAAGCGCACTCGGGCATTGGCGCTAGATGGGCTGTAAGCAACCCAGAATCTGGGCAAAAATAGAGGCCAATGGGTGACAGAATGAAAATAAAAGGCTAGGAAAGAGCACCGAGGACACATATAAGGTGCTCATTTGTCAATGAGCACCTTATATGAGCCTTATATGAGCACCTTATATGAGCACCTATACAATGAGTCTAGGCTGCGTGGGGGCCTTGGAGCAGACACTTGAAGGCCTCCAGCCATTCTCACTGCAGCAACCAGGGCAACCTGAAAGCCATTAAAGGACAACAGTCATAAATGGAGCAGAAGTAATGCCAAAGGCACGAGCAGCAAATTGGCCACACTGCTTGCATCAGTGATGAAAGATAAGAAGGGAACCTCTCCAAGTTACATAACTGGATGGAAAAGCTCGGAGTCAGCAGAAAGCGAATGAGCAGCGATGGTGCCAGGCCGTGCAGACTCCTGAGGGCACAGGGCACCATGAACAGCACGGAGGCAGCATGCTGGAGCAGCTCCACGGCCACCTAGTGGGTTACGAAACAGAAGAGGTGAGGGATGAGAGCAGGAGGAAGAAAACAGCGTTCGCCAGACCCAAAAAAACTCCGTCCCGTGATGCTTTCTTGGGTTCAACGCTGTGAAGCTTCACAGCACCTGCAGGAAGGATCAGTCCCAGCCAGCACTCTGAGGCTGGCAGAGAGCTTCGCAAGACACTCAAGGAGCATTGGCACTAGCAAGCCTGGTCTCCCAAGGGTCTGTGTCTTGGAGCGTGGCTTGAGGCACTTGCCATGCCTGCAATGTTTAATAGGGATCTCTCCAGCACAGATCATCAGGTACACTACAACATGGGGTTCATCCGTTGGTTTCTACCCTGGAGGGCCAAGCAGGACAGACCTTTGCTCTTGTTTTTGCTAAGAAGAGCATAGCTCTGCGCAACATATGGATGAGCAATGGTTTGGCCAACAGGAGAGATATGGAGCTACTGGAGAGAGTCCAGCGAAGGGCTACGAAGATGATGAGGGGACTGGAGCATCTCTCCTCTGAAGAAAGGCTGAGAGAGCTGGGCCTGTATAGCCTGGAGAAGAGAAGACTGAGAGGGGATCTGATCAACGTGTACAAGTATCTGAAGGGAGGCTGTCAAGAGGATGAGCCCCATGAGCTCCATGGAGCCCAGTGACAGGACAAGAGGCAACTGAACCACAGGAAGTTCCATCTGAACATGAGGAAAAATTTCTTTCCTGGGAGGGTGACTGAGCACTGGAACAGGTTGTCCAGAGAGGTAGTGGAGTCTCCTTCACTGGAGATATTCAAAAGCTGCCTGGACATGATCCTGGACTACCTGTTCTAGGTAACCCTGCTTGAGCAGGGGGTTGGACTGGATGATCTCCAGAGGTCCCTTCCAACCTCAACCATTCTGTGATTCTGTGAACCAGAAGGGTTACTCTGTGAGTATTATTTTGGGATGCTGAATAGTCTGAGCCTTTTGGTCCGAGCACTGGCATGGGAAAGACAGCACTGAGGGCCAAGCAGGGGAAGAGGGGCACCGGGACTCACCCATAAGGAAGTCAAGCACAGTCATGTCAATAAGGTCAAGGAGGCGATGTCCTCTGTTGTATGGAGGTGTCTCTCTCACCTGAGCACAGTAGTTGGGGTTCAGCTCCCACCTGTGTGCAGAGGCCACGATAGGGCGATGGGGATGTGAGAGCAGCCATGGGGAGACCTGGGCAGCCCCCTCTAAGCCCAAAGCCCTGTGGGCAGTGCTGCACAGTACCCCTCTCCAGCACCCCCCTCCCTGTAGGTGCAGAGGGAGCAGCCAGAGGTATTGCACGGGGCTCCACAACCAGCCTAACCAGCTTCTTCCCCTCCCACACCAGCCAGCCACCCTGCCTGCCTTGCTGCGCTCCTCTCCAGCCACCCCTGCCTGGTGGCCGTGCAATCACCCACCCCGGGTGGGCTCCCGTCGTGGACCCACTCACTCGGCCTTCTTGCTCTTATGGTAGGAGCGTCGCCAGGGGCTGCGCCAGGAGCGGCGTTTGGCCAGGGACTTGTCGGGCAGCAGGGCTGCCATGGAGCCCTCCAGCTGGTCCGGCTTGCCACACACAGCATGCTCCGTGGAGCAGTAGTAGGAGCACTCGCCATAGAAGCAGACGTTGCCAGCTGCAAGGATGGGATGGGGGATGAGGAAGAGTGGAGGTTGCCAAGGAGCAGCTCTTTTGTGCCACCCTTCTTGGCAACCTCAGGACCATGCACGAGGAGGTTGGAGGAGAGGGCTAGGAGGGCTGCAAGTCTGCTCTTCTTGTGCAGGTAGGTCAAGTAGGCATTTTGATGGAGGAATGGTGATGGTAAAGTGAGGATGCTGTCTGTGCTATGGCACCCAAAAACCTCTGGCTAGGGAGACAACCTGGAGCCACCAGGTAAAGTAACTGGGAAAACAGCCTTGAGGAGAAGAGCACCAAGGCAGGGGACCTTGTAGGAGCTGGAGCGCCTGAGCAGGTGACTGCTGCCAAGACGCAGTTGCCAAAGGGACAGTTTGCCCTGATGTAGGATGACCACAAAGAGCAAGATGGGAGCATCTGGCTCCAGATGTGCTCCGCATTGGTAGTTAACCACAGGCAGCATGGGGAAGGACAGGAGCAGGCGAGAGCTATGTCCTGGGGACATTCCTGGTTCACCTGGGGAAATGAAGAAAGTCTTGGCCAGTTTCTTGTCAGTCGTGATGTCACGAATCTCCTGCGTTATATTCACCAAACGGCCAGAAACAGGTGGGATTCTCCGGAAATCCAGGATCCTTTGAAGAAGGAAAACCACACATAGAACACACCAAAATGCAGAACTTAGAACAACGTCTTGAAGACTGAGTCTATTTCTCACACCAAGTTACTAAGAACACTGGGAAATATAGGTACCCCTCACAACACAATATAGTGAGGAAGAAGCGGGGTCCAGCGGGAATTTCTCTGGTACTTTGCTGTCATGGGATGGCATAATTAGATGCAAAGTCTGCATCCTTCCCAGGAGGCTACTGACATTGGTGAGATTGCATTCATTGGAGAGCGGATGCTAGGCCCGGTGGCCTTTGAACTTTGGTTGGGGGCCGGGTTTCCGACCAGATCTAGTACAGTCGCTCCTAAACTCCTGTGAAGGTCAGCACAGCAGGAACAGCCAGACTTTGGCCCCATGAAGAATACTGGGGCATACTGTGTTTCAGGCCAGGAGTAGGGTAGACTTGACCCCAGGCTCATCCCCACATGAACAGGGGCTCACATTGCAGCTGGCAACTTCTGCTCAGGACCCACCTGTCCAGGTGAAAGGCTGCTATCTCTGCATTGTGCCGCTCAAAGTCCGAGAAGTAGAAGAAGTCAACGGGGGTCTCCTGGTCCCGAGTCTGCCTGAAAGGAGAGGGAAGGATGAGGAGCGATAGCCAAGGACTGGGTCACCCCCTGCTCAGCCCAGAACTCACAGCCTGCTCCGAGCTTGGTCTTGGCCCCCAAACCACCCTTGTGCTGTGTCGTCAGCAATGCAGCAAGGCCCAGTTTCTTCCAGATGTGCCCTGCTAGGTGGCATGGCCCCAGCTACCCAAGACCAGGCTCCTTCCTGCTCAGCAGCCTCATATAGCATGAGGGCCACATCCCTTTGCGTCCTAAAGGCAGAGCCCACAGCAGGCTGCAGTCGTGCGACCCTTGCAGGGTAGCAAACGCATGAGGCGCCCCAGATGCAAAGGGAGGAACCGGGAAGCGCAGAGACCCCCCCCATCCCAGCCCCACATAGGCATTTCGGGTGCCCTGCATTCCCTCAGCGCACAGCCTGGCCCAGGGCAGGGAGGTGGTCCTCATGGACCATCTTCTTCTTTCCACCACTGGAGGTCACTACCCCATCACAAGCAGCACCCAGCCTGCCTCAAGCACTACTAGGGAAGGCGAGATCTCGCTTGCCTCAATTTAGGGGACTCTGGCAAGGCAGACCACAAAGGAATGCTCCCCTGCTCCTCCACTCTCCCTCTGCGGGCTCTTTCTGCTGCCCCTCACCAAATGACGAGACATTGAAGGGGCACACCCAGGCAGGAGGGTGCAGGGGTTGGGTCTGGGGGTTATCCCTGGCCTGGTCCCACCATTCCCTGTTTGGCTCTACTCACTTCATGGGCTTGAAGAGGGCCTGCCCGTAATTCGGGAACGTCATGATGAGTTTGAGCTGCGTCCCGCCAGACTTCTGGACTGAAACAGAGGACACAGGGATCAGGGGGGAGAGGGAGGTGGATGGGTGGGCAGTGCGGAGGGAAGGCAAAGAGGGGGTGGAGCGGGAAGGGAAGCGGTACCCGAGCTGACGATCTTCAGTGTGGCCAGATCCTCAATGAGGGCAGGCGTCAGGGGGTCCTGGCGGGGATACAGCTCGTAGCGGTTGATGCCGACATGGAATTTGAGCCAGGTGGGGTAGGTGTCGTAGGCCGTCTTCCCTGTCGGAAGGACCATCTCGGCTTTACTGTTGCTGACCCTGCAGCCCAACAGCCACCACCACCCCCAACAACAACGACAGGGTTTAGTTGGGACAAGTCGTGCCCAGCATCTTCGGGCCCTTCCTGGGGATCCAGCCCCCAGGCTCCACCTCAGCCCCACCCCGCGCACCGGCGGGTGGGG